GGGCTTCAAGTGGAAGAGAGTGATGTCCACGCAAGAGCAAATTATGAAACTGAAAGAAAACTCGAAGAAAGGGTGGGTCCTGGAGGTGAATTTGGAGTATTTGGAGGAGCTCCAGGAAGCCCACGACAGCTATCCTCTTGCACCAGAGAAAAAGGCAATAGGGGTGGAGAAGATGTCAGAGTATCAAAAAAGAATGATGGACGATCTGGGGCTGGACTTCTCGAAAAGCGAGAAACTGGTGTTCACGCTGGAGAACAAAAGCAATGACATTGTCCATTGCAAGAATCTGCAGTTTTATATCAGCCAGGGGATGCGTTTGAAAAAGGTCCCCCGAGTGATCGAGTTCGACCAGGAGCCGTGGATGGAGCCCTACATCCAGATGAACACAGAGTTCAGGAAAGAAGGGAAGAGCGAATTCGAGACCAACTTCTACAGACTGATGAACAACTTGGTGTTCGGCAAAACGATGGAAAACCTGAGAAACCGCGTCGACGTAAAGATCGTCCGCAGCTGGGAGACCGACAATATCCGCCGCCTGGTGGCCAGCCCCTCGTATGCAAGGCACGAGATATTTGGAAATGACCTGGCGGGCATCCACATGCACAAAACGCGGCTGCCCTTGGACAAGCCGATCTACACCGACATGACGATCTTAGAGAACAGCAAGATTTTGATGTATGACTTCTTCTACAACCAGATGAAAGCCTGATACGGGCAAAAGTGCGAGCTGATCTATACAGACACCGACAGCCTGCTCATGGAAATCGAGACGGACGACGTCTACAGAGACATGGCGAAAGACCTCGTCCTGTACGATACAAGCAATTATCCCAAAGAGCACCCGCTCTACAGCAGCGAAAACAAAAAGGTGCTGGGGAAGATGAAAGACGAGTGCGCGGGAAGGGTGATTGATGAAGCGGTGGCTATACGGCCGAAAATGTCAAGAAAACCAAGGGAGTAAAAATGAACGTGGTAGAAAAAGAGATCCAGCATGAGCAATACAAAGAGGCACTGTTCGAGTAAAAGCACTTCTGGCACGGGATGAACATCTTGCGAAGGGAGGGCCACGAGATCTACGGCATGCAGGTGAACAAGGTGTTCAAGTTCCCCGGGCTGATGCAAACATCTTACATTAATGACAGGGGGAGCTTTTTTCTTTCAAGCCAACAGGTCTGGAATACTTTATAGATGGTTTGGAGGTGACAGATTTCTCTTTGATTGTGACAGCTGGTTTTTTCCTGATAAGACTAGTGACTTCGCCGTTAAGAGCGGCAACAACGTCGGGGAGCCTTTTGACCCAGGCAGTCGACCGCTCGCCAGAAGGCAACAGCATTTCTACGGCATACTGACGCCCAAACAAGCGCTCGGCGAGCGTGTGGTTGAAACGTTCAACGATAGCTTGGTCTCTGTGAATGTCAGGGCGCCCACAGCGAATGGTTGTTTTGTGGTTTTCCATTTCTTTGGTCACGCTTCCCATGAACTCGCGCCCAGTGTCTTCCTGCAGCAGCTGAGCCCACGTCAAAGGGCTGCGCTTGTAAATCAACTGAAAAGCTTTCGCAACCTCAGCAGAGTCTTTGGAGGTCAGAGGCGCAGCTTCTTTGTAACGGCTGGTGACGTGGACAGCGGTCAGCGTGTATTTGTAAGATTTGCGGCCGCGCGGGAGCTTGTCATGAGGCAGAAAAAGAAGATCTGCTTGGTGGACCGCGTTAGGTGCCGATACGTTGAATTTGGGGCGAGGGATGTAGCGCACCGAGGGGAGATAGATCTGCCAGAGAGCCTGTTTGATGAGCCACTGCTTGGCAGTTTCTTCAGGGACTTTCGCAGCGTCTGCTAGTTTTTTAATGGCAGCGATGCCTTTCCAGTAGCCCTGGGGGCTGTAGTAGATTTTGACAAGCTTGGCGTCCATATTTTGTAACAGCGTGTTTATTCAAAGAAAACGAAAAGCAGCGTAGCCGAGAGCGAGCGCGCTGCCGCCCACAAAAAGCAGCTCGCCTTGTTTCTGGAACTCACTGGGCTGATATACGTCAGCGAATCGGGATTCTTTGGGGGGTTTTATTGGCTGGTCTGGTTGGGCCTGGTTATAGAGTTTGAAAGCGTAATCAGTGTTGTGAAGTTGTCGAGTTCCAGTTCCAGTTCCAGTTCGAGTTCGTCCCCAACTTTTAGTGTTCGTGTTTACATAGTTGTTATCGAGCTATTAAACAATTTCAGTCTATGTATGTTTGATAAGCTTAAATGATGATTGTTCGCTTGTTCGTGCGCGCAACAAAGTCCAAAGGTTACTTGCCACCAACGAGCTCTCCACCGAGCGAAGTCACCAACAAGCGAAGTTTCCTCGCCGCCAGTAATCTAATAAGGCAGTAGGTAAAAGAACGAGAATAATCTCCATATGCAACTCCATCTGGTTGGTGGCGATCAAGTTGAGTCGATGTGGGGGCGAACTCAGTGGGGGCGAACTCGCCATGGGGCGAAACCGGCAGCTACCTGAACATGGCGCGCTCTTTGATTTCAAAGGCATGCCTCTGGAATTTGACTTAGAAATTAATTAACGCTTTTTATACCATGTCGTCTACGAACGTTCTACCGTCCGCTCCTCCTGAAAGCTCTCCGGAGCCTCTCTATCCCATACTGACAACACCAGCTGAAAATTTCCGTTTGCAAAAGATCGACGAGATAGCCAAAGTTTTGGACCAAGAGGTCGGCCACCATCGCCTCGTTGTGAAAAAATACAAACGGGCAAAAAAATTCGTTATTTGGAGTGCTGCGGGCTCCAGTTTTCTCTCAGCAGCGTTTTCAAGCGCGAGCTTTGGTTCGACTCTGTCGGTGGTTGGCCTGCCGGCCACAATTCCCTTAGGCGTTGTTGGCGGTTGTTTCGCTCTCGTTTCTTCGGGGCTAATAATCGCCAGCAGGAAATTTGAGGCAACAATTAAAAAGCATCAAGAGATTACCACGCTCGCCGTCGCCAAACGTGACACAGTCGGCAGACTATTATCCAAAGCTTTGAATAACAATGCCGTGTCTGCCCACGAGTTTGACATCATTTTTTCCGAGTTTCAGCAGTACAACGTCCTGAAGGAACAAGTCCGAGCCAAGCTGANACTTATATATCCATATCTAAACTACGGATAAATTAGCGGTGGTACTGCATGTCTGACTTGCTTAAATAAAAGGAAAATAGGTCAAAATAAGTGTTTTTGTCCCATTTTCTTTGCCCATCCCATCTAGATGTAGATATTCTGAAACTTTGAGACTTTTTTAGATTAAAAACTTCCTCTCTTGTACAAAAAGTACAAGACCCCATAACAAGAATCCCTGCCGCTCTCAGTGATCTAATCCTACCCTCCTCCAAAAGCTCATAACTAGAATACCAGATATGCTTTCAAGCAAAACCTGTACAGACCAGTTTCCAGACCAAATTGTGGCTTAACAAGATTTAAAGAACACTAACACTACTTACAGTTCTGATATTACACTAACATTTACACTTACACTGTACTTGCTACTTACACCAGTTATACGTGCACTAGTCACAATGCATATTGTACAATACGATCATGCTAATTAAATTACAGTTGGCTTACCTACAATGCTCTTTTTTTTTATTATAGATGAATTGCATAAACAAATAAGTTACATACATGCTACATTTTACATCTCTACAACGCACTTAATTGTGCTATACTGCTTCCTTACTTTTTAACTACGACCAGCGGAAAAACACTTAAAATAACTTACAATACTGCTGATTAAACAAAGGCGCTTACATAATAAAAAAGAAGGAAAAACAAACAAACAAAAAAGAGAGAAAGTGACAAAAAAGGGAAAAAATCCCTGTAGGTTTTCTTTCTCTTTTCTTTTACTACAGGAAAAGGTAACATCACGGATGTTCTTGGACCAAAGATTGTTGGTTTATTGGCCTTGATGACCGGATTAGAATTATTTGAAACAAATTATTTTTGAACAAAGCAACACCATTTCTTGAGGAAGGAACTGTATTTGTTGGCTGAGATCGCGATATTTTTTTGAAGCTCTAATTTTTCCTGCACAAGGGTGGTGAAATCCACAAATTGGTATCTCCTACTATTAAGGGAACAAATGTAGAGAAAGTATTTGCCATTAAGAATAAGGTGGTTTAGTGTTAAACAAAATGAATTCAAAACACCATACAGTCGGGAATTGAGTGTTGAGCGTTTTTTGGGAAAAGTAAGTAATCAAGTCTGCATTGGGTTTTCATTGATGGATTATTTCACGTGAAACCCGGTATATCTACAACACACATGTATAGTGATAGTTCCGGGGCCGGGCCAGTTCGGGCTTATTTTGAGTCTCGCCTCGCGGCTCGACTCAAAACAAGCAGCCCGAACTGGCCCGTCCCCGGAACTATCACTATACATGCGTGTTATACCGCTGGGATCGGCCCTGTCTGCCCCAAAATCGACATTGCCCGATACCGCGGAGCGCGGCCCCAGAAAAAAAATCCCAATTGAACAAGCCGCCTGCCTTGGCATAAAGTAGTCATTGCTGCGTCAAGGTTTTCATCTGATGTCATAGAGATGTTTTACGGTCCTATCTCGCGCGAAGAGAACGCAAGACTTCAGTCTCCAATCAGGCCCACCATGGATTTTGATTTTCAGTTAGTAAGAACCAACTTCAACGAATGGCTTCGTGTGTGGAAAATGGCGGTCCCAGAAGCCTCTAAATTTAAAGCCGACCTCTTGAAATTTGCACAAAAAACGAAATCAAAATTTGCCGAAGTTGTAGAAAATGAAATTCGAACCCTGAAAAGCGCCAAAACGCAGTTCGGGTTCAATGTTAAGTTTTCGGTAACTAGAGATGTTGAAAAACAAGAAATGGAGCATTATTTCAAACAGAGAGACCCCGCGGTTTTCAACAGAAACAACTTGACAACAGTAAATAGCGTATTCGCCGATTCATTGATGAAGTCAAAGGCGAAATAGAAGCCTGGTCTCAAAGAGGCTCAGGTTGGGTGGTAGAAGCCGTCGTGGAAGCGTTCGTCAATGTCGCCCAATACCAACCATTTCGTGGAGGAAGCTACATGCCGCTGCCCAAAAAGCTACAAAACAAAAAAAGCGATCATCAACGTCCAAAACAGAGACAACGAGAGCTTGAGATGGGCTCTATGTACGGCATTATTTCCACCAACAAATGGGAAAAAGGTGACAAGAACGTCAAGCTACCCCACAGAAGACAGGCTGAATTTTAAAGGAATAGACTTTCCAACGCCCGTATCACAGATTAATAAACTAGAAAAGCAAAACCCGAAACTAGCGATAAATGTGTTTGGCTGGGAAAAAGACCGCGTGATCGTGCATAGGCTCAGCGAAAGAGAGGGAAGCCTCCCGAGAATCAACTTGATGTTGATACAGAACAACGAAAAATCCCACTACACATACGTGAGAAGGCTGAGCGCGCTGCTGCACAGCCAAAGCGAGCACGTTGGCGTAAAACATTTTTGTGAAAGATGTCTGCGCGGCTACACGACGGCAGAGCTGCTTGAAAGACACAAACCCGAGTGCATAGGGCAGTTGAAAAGGCCCACAAAGACCGAGCTGCCCAAAGAGGGCAAAAACAAGGTGAAGTTCAAGAACCACCACAAGCAGATGAAAGTGCCGTTTGTAGTATACGCCGACTTTGAGTCTTTGATAAGGAAGATACATGGCTGCGCGAAAAAAGGCCAGGCAACAATCAAAACAGAGGTCCACGAGCCCTGCGGTTTTTTGTACCTGATCGTGAGGAGCGACGGCAAGACGTACGGCCCGTTCGTGTACCGCGGCGAAGACGCGGTCCTCGTGTTCCTGACCTGGCTGCAGGCCCACGAAACGCAGCTGCGGGCCGAGCTGGCCAGAAAAAAGCCGCTCGTGATAACGCCGAAAGACTGGCGCCGATACAAAAGCGCGGCGGAATGCCACATCTGCAACGAAAGCCTGGTCAAGCCCGAGTTTTGGACTTCCTCGCCGTGGGCGACCCCAACACAGGCGGTACTGCAGCCAAAGCCACAAAAAATGCTACTAGGAAGACCTCCAAGAAAAGGGGTTTGTGGGGCCGCAAAGAGAAAAAATGGCGCTAGACGAGCAAGAAACGTGGGATCAATTTAACCAAGAGGAATGTATATTTTCAAAGTGCCGCTGCTGGTAAACAACTACAAAGACTCGGTGAAAGACCACTGCCACATCACAGGGAAATATCGGGGGGCCGCGCACAATGCCTGCAACCTGAAGCTCCGCCTGAACCCCAAATCGCCCATCCCGGTGATCTTTCACAACTTGCAAGGACACGACGGACATCTCCTGATGCAGGCCATGGCGCGGGTGCAGAGGGAAATAAGCTGCATCCCGAACAACACAGAGAAATACATCTCCTTTTCACTCGGAAACCTGAAGTTCATGGACAGCTTAAATTTCATGATGAGCAGCTTAGACGCGCCGGTGAAGGGCAGAAAAAACTTACGAAGACATCCAAAAGAGGAAGCTGCCCCTGAAGAAAGGGATTTATCCTTACGAATACATGGACGGCTTTGAAAGGTTCGCCGATACAGAGCTCCCGGCCAAAGAAGAGTTCTTCTCGAAGCTGGCCGGAAAAGGGATAACAGAAGAAGAGTACGCACACGCGAAGAAGGTCTGGGCCGAGTTCGGATGCAAAACCCTCGGCGACTATCACGATCTATATGTGAAAACCTACGTCGTGCTGCTGGCAGATGTGTTCGAGAACTTCCGAAAAGTCTGCATGGGGAGATACGAGCTAGATCCAGCACGTTATTACACAGTCCCCGGTCTGAGCTGGGACGTGCTGCTGAAAACGACCGGCGTAGAGCTAGAGTTTTTGACCAACCTATACTTGCACCTGTTCATCGAAAAAGGCATGCGGGCGGCATCTCGATGGCGAGCAAGTGGTACTTGAAGGCCAAAAACCCGCGGCCTGCCGACTACGACCCCGCCAAGCCTTCTAAATTTATCACGTACCTGGACGCGAATAAACTGTATGGCTGGGCAATGAGCCTGCCGCTGCCCAAATGGGGCTTCAAGTGGAAGAGAGTGATGTCCACGCAAGAGCAAATTATGAAACTGAAAGAAAACTCGAAGAAAGGGTGGGTCCTGGAGGTGAATTTGGAGTATTTGGAGGAGCTCCAGGAAGCCCACGACAGCTATCCTCTTGCACCAGAGAAAAAGGCAATAGGGGTGGAGAAGATGTCAGAGTATCAAAAAAGAATGATGGACGATCTGGGGCTGGACTTCTCGAAAAGCGAGAAACTGGTGTTCACGCTGGAGAACAAAAGCAATGACATTGTCCATTGCAAGAATCTGCAGTTTTATATCAGCCAGGGGATGCGTTTGAAAAAGGTCCCCCGAGTGATCGAGTTCGACCAGGAGCCGTGGATGGAGCCCTACATCCAGATGAACACAGAGTTCAGGAAAGAAGGGAAGAGCGAATTCGAGACCAACTTCTACAGACTGATGAACAACTTGGTGTTCGGCAAAACGATGGAAAACCTGAGAAACCGCGTCGACGTAAAGATCGTCCGCAGCTGGGAGACCGACAATATCCGCCGCCTGGTGGCCAGCCCCTCGTATGCAAGGCACGAGATATTTGGAAATGACCTGGCGGGCATCCACATGCACAAAACGCGGCTGCCCTTGGACAAGCCGATCTACACCGACATGACGATCTTAGAGAACAGCAAGATTTTGATGTATGACTTCTTCTACAACCAGATGAAAGCCTGATACGGGCAAAAGTGCGAGCTGATCTATACAGACACCGACAGCCTGCTCATGGAAATCGAGACGGACGACGTCTACAGAGACATGGCGAAAGACCTCGTCCTGTACGATACAAGCAATTATCCCAAAGAGCACCCGCTCTACAGCAGCGAAAACAAAAAGGTGCTGGGGAAGATGAAAGACGAGTGCGCGGGAAGGGTGATTGATGAAGCGGTGGCTATACGGCCGAAAATGTCAAGAAAACCAAGGGAGTAAAAATGAACGTGGTAGAAAAAGAGATCCAGCATGAGCAATACAAAGAGGCACTGTTCGAGTAAAAGCACTTCTGGCACGGGATGAACATCTTGCGAAGGGAGGGCCACGAGATCTACGGCATGCAGGTGAACAAGGTGTTCAAGTTCCCCGGGCTGATGCAAACATCTTACATTAATGACAGGGGGAGCTTTTTTCTTTCAAGCCAACAGGTCTGGAATACTTTATAGATGGTTTGGAGGTGACAGATTTCTCTTTGATTGTGACAGCTGGTTTTTTCCTGATAAGACTAGTGACTTCGCCGTTAAGAGCGGCAACAACGTCGGGGAGCCTTTTGACCCAGGCAGTCGACCGCTCGCCAGAAGGCAACAGCATTTCTACGGCATACTGACGCCCAAACAAGCGCTCGGCGAGCGTGTGGTTGAAACGTTCAACGATAGCTTGGTCTCTGTGAATGTCAGGGCGCCCACAGCGAATGGTTGTTTTGTGGTTTTCCATTTCTTTGGTCACGCTTCCCATGAACTCGCGCCCAGTGTCTTCCTGCAGCAGCTGAGCCCACGTCAAAGGGCTGCGCTTGTAAATCAACTGAAAAGCTTTCGCAACCTCAGCAGAGTCTTTGGAGGTCAGAGGCGCAGCTTCTTTGTAACGGCTGGTGACGTGGACAGCGGTCAGCGTGTATTTGTAAGATTTGCGGCCGCGCGGGAGCTTGTCATGAGGCAGAAAAAGAAGATCTGCTTGGTGGACCGCGTTAGGTGCCGATACGTTGAATTTGGGGCGAGGGATGTAGCGCACCGAGGGGAGATAGATCTGCCAGAGAGCCTGTTTGATGAGCCACTGCTTGGCAGTTTCTTCAGGGACTTTCGCAGCGTCTGCTAGTTTTTTAATGGCAGCGATGCCTTTCCAGTAGCCCTGGGGGCTGTAGTAGATTTTGACAAGCTTGGCGTCCATATTTTGTAACAGCGTGTTTATTCAAAGAAAACGAAAAGCAGCGTAGCCGAGAGCGAGCGCGCTGCCGCCCACAAAAAGCAGCTCGCCTTGTTTCTGGAACTCACTGGGCTGATATACGTCAGCGAATCGGGATTCTTTGGGGGGTTTTATTGGCTGGTCTGGTTGGGCCTGGTTATAGAGTTTGAAAGCGTAATCAGTGTTGTGAAGTTGTCGAGTTCCAGTTCCAGTTCCAGTTCGAGTTCGTCCCCAACTTTTAGTGTTCGTGTTTACATAGTTGTTATCGAGCTATTAAACAATTTCAGTCTATGTATGTTTGATAAGCTTAAATGATGATTGTTCGCTTGTTCGTGCGCGCAACAAAGTCCAAAGGTTACTTGCCACCAACGAGCTCTCCACCGAGCGAAGTCACCAACAAGCGAAGTTTCCTCGCCGCCAGTAATCTAATAAGGCAGTAGGTAAAAGAACGAGAATAATCTCCATATGCAACTCCATCTGGTTGGTGGCGATCAAGTTGAGTCGATGTGGGGGCGAACTCAGTGGGGGCGAACTCGCCATGGGGCGAAACCGGCAGCTACCTGAACATGGCGCGCTCTTTGATTTCAAAGGCATGCCTCTGGAATTTGACTTAGAAATTAATTAACGCTTTTTATACCATGTCGTCTACGAACGTTCTACCGTCCGCTCCTCCTGAAAGCTCTCCGGAGCCTCTCTATCCCATACTGACAACACCAGCTGAAAATTTCCGTTTGCAAAAGATCGACGAGATAGCCAAAGTTTTGGACCAAGAGGTCGGCCACCATCGCCTCGTTGTGAAAAAATACAAACGGGCAAAAAAATTCGTTATTTGGAGTGCTGCGGGCTCCAGTTTTCTCTCAGCAGCGTTTTCAAGCGCGAGCTTTGGTTCGACTCTGTCGGTGGTTGGCCTGCCGGCCACAATTCCCTTAGGCGTTGTTGGCGGTTGTTTCGCTCTCGTTTCTTCGGGGCTAATAATCGCCAGCAGGAAATTTGAGGCAACAATTAAAAAGCATCAAGAGATTACCACGCTCGCCGTCGCCAAACGTGACACAGTCGGCAGACTATTATCCAAAGCTTTGAATAACAATGCCGTGTCTGCCCACGAGTTTGACATCATTTTTTCCGAGTTTCAGCAGTACAACGTCCTGAAGGAACAAGTCCGAGCCAAGCTGATTCGCCAGCCTCTTCGCTCAAACTACAGGGTTTTAAATGAAATAAATGATTTACTCTACACTTTTCTGTGGAATGGTAAAGGCGACAAGATAAAACGGAAGGTAATGATCAATGATTTCGGTGTGGTGGCCTAAAAATGATTGATATTAGTTCCTTCAATAAATCCCTCAAAACCACCTGGATTAAAAAATATTTAGATAACAACAACAAGGGAAAATAG